TATATATATATATATATATATATATATATATTTCATTATGTCATTCCCAGATTAAATCTTCCAATATCTGCTGGATATAGCAGCACATATCTGTAATCTAATAGTTGGGAGGCAGAAGGACTATGAGTTTGAAGGCAGCTTGGGCTACATAGCAATACTCTGTCTCAAAACAAGCGAACAGTCCCAAAGCCTCCAACATCTTTGTGCTTCTCATAGCATCAACTCCAGGCTAAACTCCAGGTTCCTCATCACAACCCTGACCAGTACACAGGGCTTGGCTGTGCTCACCTCTCCTGCCTCTCTCTTGGCTGGTCTGCTTCTGTTCCAGCCACACTAGCCTGAGTTCATAACTCAGCAGTTGCTTTGCCGCCAAGCCTTCATGCAGCTGCTCTTTCCTCCTCACAGGCTTTTCCCTTGCTCCTCACCCAACCACCTTTCCCTTAGCTTTGCAGGCTTACCTGGGCTTCTCTGTAAAGGCTTCCTGACCTTTTAGACTAGGTTTTGGGCAAAAGTTTCCTTACCAAAGACTCCAAAGTTCTCTCTTACTCAGCTCTTCCCAATGTTCCATCCTGTTATCCTATTACATCCTGCTGAACTGCGGGCTCTGAGGACAGGGACTGTGTCTGAAGGGTTCCAGCACTCTACATGATACTCGCTGATTCTAGCACAGCTATTAATTTGCTCATGAGGGAAGCTAATTTCTAAGAAGTTCTACCTTCAGTTTGATCTATCTTAAAGCTAACAGATTCTCTAAAGTCAAGTAGCATATTATGACCTCCCAATTTTTATTATTATTATTATTATATTATTATTATTTTGTGTGTATGAGTGTATTGACTGCATGTGTGTAAGTGCACCTGTCATGCAATGCCTGCAGAGGTCAGAAGAGGGTGTTGGATTCCCTAGAACTGGAGTTATGGACAGTTGTTAGTTACTATGTGGATGCTGGGAATCGAACCCAGGTCCCTTGCAAGAGCAGCCATTGCTTTTAACTGCTGAGCCATCTCTCTAGCCCCTAATTTTATTATTTTAAATATTTTATTATCTGGGGCCTGGAGAGATGACTCAGCAGTTAAGAGCACTTGCTGCTCTTACAGAGGACCCAGGTTTGGTTCCCAGCACCCAAATCACTGCTAACAACTGGCCATTCCAGTTCCAGGGTATCCAACGCCCTCTTCTGGCTTCTGTGGCCTCTGCACACATGAGTGCACTTACAGATGTGTAGGCAAAACACTCATATACATAAAATAAAAATAAATAATTTTTAAAGATTCTATTATTTTATTTTATGTGTGTATATGTGTCTGTGTGGGGGGTATGTGTACATTTGACTGCTGGTACCCTGAAGATCCCCTGGAGCTGGAGTTACAGGTGGTTGTGAGCTCCCTACATGGATACTGGGAACCAGGCTCAGGTCCTCTGCAAGAGCAGTAAGTGTTCTTAACCATTGAGCCATCTCTCCAGCCCTTTCTCCCTATTTCAAATGTTCATTTTTCCAAGTATCATACATAGGAGGGCTTAGATTTATAAAAAATGAATTTATGTCAGGCGTGGTGGTGCACACCTTTGATCCCAGCGCTCATGAGGCAGAGGCAGGCAAATCTCTGTGAGTTCCAGGCCAGCTGGGGTTGTAGGAAGATGCCGTCTCAAAAAAGACCAAAAAAAAAATTAATTTATTAATTAAAAACATTAAAAATCACAAGTTTGAGACCAGCCTGGTCTATGTAGCAAGTTTGGGCCAGTCAGGCCAATTAATATGATTCTGCCTCAAAACAAACAAAAAAAGGAGGCAACACATGAAAAATTCTTAGCTCATTTCTTATTTATTTTTGGTTGTAGAGGAGAGGTGCTCATGTAGCCCAGGCTGGCCCCAAATTCCTAATCTTCCTACTTTTACTTTCTGAGTACCAGGCAGGTGCTACCATGCCCGACTTTTTAAAAAGATTTTCAAAATTTCTATTTATGTGTATGTGTGCCCCCCCACCTTTTAAATGTAGCTCTGATTGTCCTGGAAATCACTATGGAGACCAGGTTGACCTCGAATTCACAGAGATCTGCCTGCTTCTGCCTCCCAAGTGCTAGGATTAAAGGTGTGTACCACCACCACACCCAACTTTTATTTGTGTGTGTGTGTGGTGTGTGTGTGTGTGTACAGATACCCGTGGAGGTCAGAAGAGGGTGTTGGATCCTCTGCAGCAACAGAGTAAACAACTGGCCTCCACACATGCACTCATGTACACACCCACATGAACATGTACAAATATATCACAGAGAGAGAGAGGGAAGTTGGAGGAAGAAGGTGGCTTTATGAGCTTACCATTCTCAATACAGAGTAGGAAACTGAGACAGAAGAGATGAAGGGACAATCCATTTTTAAATGAAAGAACTGGAATTAGGAAGTGTGTGCCCTGACTGAGGAGGTCCACTGAGGTGCACAAGGAGCACTGGATGCAGGCAGACATACAAAGCCCACATTGAGCAATGCCTGCTGGCACTGGGGTTGAGTCTGTGGGATTTATTAGAACAAGGTGTCCAAAAGTGTTAGCACCACAACAAAAACTGTGTAAAGTGAGGAAAGTCTTCTATAAACCCAAGATTATTTTGAAAGCAACACATTAAAGGTATGGGGGAGGAGAGATGTATTTGTATGTGCATACAACATGTAAGAAGACATCAAAGACTGGACAATGGGGAATGTCTCCATGAAGAGGGCCTGAGTGACAGGATATTTTCTATAACTTTTTAATTTTTAAAATTTATTTTTATTTTATGTGTATGGGTTTTGCCTGAATGTATGTAAGTACACCTGTGTCGTGCAGTACCCATAGAGGTCAGACGTGGGTGCCAGATCCCCTGGAACTGTAGTTACGGACAGTGGTTAGCCACCACGTGGGTGCTGGGATTTGAACCTGGGTCTTTTGCAAGAACAGCCAATGCTCTTAATTGCTGAGCCATCTCTCTAGCCATTCTTTTTTATTGTTTTGTTTTATTTTGTTTTTGAGACAGGGTCTCTCTGTAGCCCCAGCTGGCCTGGAATTTGCTATGTAGACAGACTGGCCTCCATCTCACAAAGACCCACCTGCCTCTTACCATGCCTGGCCTACCCCCTTAACTTTTTATTTTAGAGCTGGGGATGGGACTCAGGGCTTCATGAATGCTAAGCATATGTTCTACCTCTGAGCTATGTCTTTTGTGAATGTGTTATCTAATTTTTAAAAAAAAAATTAAGAAAGGAATTTAGGGGGCTGGAGAGATGGCCCAGCTGTTAAGAGCACTGACTGCTCTTGCAGAGGACCCGGGTTCAATTCCCAACACCCACATGGCGGCTACGAACTGTCCTTAACTCCAGTTCCAGGCGAATCTGAAGCCCTCTTCTGACCTCCGCGGCATTGCATGACACGGGTGCACTCACATACATGCAGGCAATACACTCATTCAAATTTAAAAAAAAAAGAAAGGAATTTAAAATGTAAACTTTTTTTGAGACAGGATCTTACTATGTAGCTCTGGCTGGACTGGAACTCACTATGTAGACCACGTTGGTTTCAAACTCATAGAGATCCACCTGCCTCTGCCTCCCAAGTATTGGGATTAAAGGCATATACTATCACGCCTGGCCTTTTTTTAAAATGTTAATTTTTAAGTGGTGTTACTGTTGCAGAAGTCACACTGCGTTACTTCTCTTCTCTTCTGCCTGGCAATGATTAGGAATCCCTAAACCCCCACCTCAACTCTTGTGACCTGTCTTCCCCCAGCACCTCCAAAGCCTTATCTTTTTGTCCTGTACAGACAGGCCTTAAGCCTACTCCAGCCAGCCTTTCTTTTATCCCAGATACAAACTGTCCTCAACTCCCTATATCTTCCAAGCCCTTCTTGAAGTCCTCAAACTCAGGAGACTTTGTTATGTCAGGCCTGTAATCCTAGCCCTCAGCAGAGTGAGGCAGGAGGATTGTGAATTCGAGGCCAGCCTGGGCTATTAGTGAGACCGTGTCTCAAAAACAAAACCAAACCTCACAGGTTCATGTTGAAATATTTAAGCTGGAATGTAAGAGTTCAGTTTTGCATGAAATATTTACGAGGGCAGAGGGCAGAGCCAGGTGTAGTGACACATACCTATAATCCCAGAATTTGGGTGGCTCAGGAAGGGAGATTGTGAATTTAAGGCCAACCTGGGCTACATAGTGAGACCCTGTTTTTGTTTTTTTTGTTTTTGTTTTTGTCTTTTTGAGACAGGGTCTCCTTATAGGCCCAGCTGTCCTGGAACTCACTATGTAGACCAGGCTGGCCTTGAACTCACAGAGATCTACCTGCCTCTGCCTCCCAAGTACTGGGATTAAAGGCATGCACCACCACGCCCGGCTGAGACCCTGTTTTTTTTTTAAAAAAATAAAATAAAAATAGGGGATGGGAGATAGCTTAGTCAGTGAAGTGTTTGTCTTGGAAGTATGAGGATCTGAACTTCGATCCCTCGAACCCATGTAAAAAGCTTGGTAGTGACGGGCACCTATAATCCCAGCAATGGTGAGATTAGAAGCAGAGATAGGTGGATCCCTGGAGTTTGCTGACCAACTTGGTGAAGTTCCAAGCCATTAAGAGACCCCATCTCAAACAAAAGGTAGAAGGCATCTGAGGTATAACACCAAGATAGCCCTCTGACCTCCACAGGTACTGGCACGCATGTGCATGAGCAGACCCATGGGTGCATACACACACACACACACACCAGTAAAATTCATGAAATATTTAGGGGTGAATTAAATGTTCACAAAGGTCAATCATCTCAGTCATCCAAGTGGGCCTCTCTAAATGGATGACCTCTCTTCACAAACAGCATATTCTTTTCCACCTCCAGGCTTTTGTTCAAGACATTCTCATGTCTGAGATACCCTTTCCTCCCTAAAAAATTCTAATTTAGCCTTCAACATGTCCCCATCATCACCCCTGAACAGCATTCCTGTTACTTGGCGCTGGCATGGTGTTTGCATTGTTTATTTTTTGGATACAGATCTTGCTATTCATCCCAGGCTGGTCTCAAACTCACAGTCTTTGCTTCATCCTCCCAGGTGCTAGGATTACAAGTGTGTGCTATTATATCCAGCCCTGTCATAGTAATTTGTCAGACTCCCACCTTGGACTCAAGGTCCTTATAGATGGGCCCAGCACCTGAGTCACTAACAAGTAATGAGATCCTTGCCATAGAGCAGTCCAGATTGGCTGAGTTTACTCATAAAATAAAAATTTTACTCATTAGAGTAGGAAACTGAGCCACAAGAGATGAAGAGACATTGAATTTTTATTTTTATTTATGTTTATTTACTTTTTGGTTTTTTGAGATGGGGTTTCTCTGTAGCCCTAGTTGGCCTAGAATTCACTACACAGACCAGGATGGCCTCCATCTCACAGAGAGCCACCTACTTCTGTCTCTCAAGTGCTGGGATTAAAAGTGTATTGCACCACACCTAGCTAAACAGTCAAAATTTTAAATGAAAGCACTGGGTTGGAGCCCAAGGACCTGACTTCAGAAAACCTCTGCCCTGACTGGGAAGGTTCACTAAAGAGGGCACAGGAGAACTGGAGTGGGGGCAAGTCTACAAAGCCCATATTGGGCAATGCCTACTGGCACTGGAGCTGGTTCCTGCTTCATCCAGTGTTACCTTGGTAACATCATCCCATCCTGGTCACACCAAAGAGTGGCTGATATGATCTGGCAGATCCAGCAGGAACCAGTTTCTTCCTAAATGAGTGTCCATGGAAGCCAAGAGCCTGGCATTAGGGTTGGTATGGTTGGGCTTGAATCCTGGCTGTATCCCTGACATGATGTGACCAGGAGCAAAGTGTATAGTTCTCTGAGCCACACACAGTCTTCTTATCTGGAAAGCATGGTCAAGAGCAACTTCTACTTTGTAAACATTCACTCAAGAAAAATTTGAGAGCCTATTAAATGATGGGTGCTAAGATACTCCGAGTGACAAAATAGGCAAAAAAAAAAAAAAAAAAAAAAATTCTGTCCTTGTGAAGCACGTCATGTTGTTCTTGAGACAGGGTCTCACACTACTGCCCAGGCTAACATGGAACTCACTGTATAACACAAACTGGCCCCAAACTTACAGCAATCCTGTCTCAGCCTCCTGGGTGCTGAGATTACAGGTAGTGATATCACCCCTGGCTGATGATGCACTAGTTCTAGTGGGAGAGATGGACTATAAAATAAGGTTACTTTGTGTCAGACAATATTAAGAACTATAAAGAAAAAAGCAGGAAGCAAGGTAGAGAGTTCAGAGATAGGCTCAGTGAGGAGGTGACACTTAAGCAGATATCTGAAAAGGGTGAGTGAGCCAAATAGACATCATGTGCCTATCACAACAGCCATCAGTACAGGCACACACACACACACACACACACACAGGCACACACACAGGCACACACACACACGCACATGCACACACACACACAGGCACACACACACACACACACAGGCACACACACACACGCGCACGCACACACACACACAGGCACACACACACGTACACACACACGCACACACACAGGCACACACACACGTACACACACACAGGCACACACACACACGCACACGCACACACACACACAGGCACACACACACACGCACAGGCACACACACACAGGCACACACACACACACACACACACCAGGTATTCTGCTCTGAGTCTCACACATACTGACTCTTCCAACAGTATCATATAAGTACTCCAGGGACCCATTTTATAGAAAGTGAGGTTTAGAGAGAATCAATCTTATTCAAGATCACATAGGCAACTAGCACAAGGATTTAAATCTTGACAGTCCACATGCTCACCACCAGGCTCTGCTGCCACAAGAATGCCAACTCCAAGGGAACACAGACCTTAGTTTGTACCCTGACTCACTGCCAGTTCTGGCACAGTAGCCTCTCAATAATTGGCTGTTAATGCATGAAGTTTAAAGAAGGATGAGGGGCTAGAGAGTTGGCTCAGTGGTTGAATGCTGGCTGCTCTTGCAGAGGACCAGGGTTCAATTCCTAGCAACCACAAGGAGGCTAACAACCATCCATAACTCCAGTTCCAGGGCAATCCAACACTCTCTTCTGACCTCCTTGGTCATTTCATGACACAGGTGCACTTACATACATGCAGGGCACACATACAGGCAATACATTCATATACATAGCCAGTTCTGGGCCAGTTGGGGCTACAGGGAGACTCTGTCTCAAAAGGATCAAAAATAAAATAAAAAGGATCAAAAAGAGGGGCTGGAGAGATGGCTTAGCAGTTAAGAACACTGGTTGCCCTTCCAGAGAACCCGAGTTCGAATCCCAGCACCCACATGGCAGCTAACAGCTGTCCGTAACTCCAGTTCCAGGGGATCTGACAGCCTCTTCTGTCCTCCTCGGGCATTGCACGACACGGGTGCACTTACTTACATGCAGGGAATACACGCATACACATTAAAAAAAAATGAATTTAAAAAAAGGATGAGGTCCCCTCCAGGTACCAGCCAAGCACAATGACTCCAAGATCTCCTTTCCTCTTCATATGAGGAACTGAGGTTAATTTGTTCAGCAAATATTATTAGCTTTTTTTTAAAAAACAAACAAACAAAAAACATTCACTGTCACACCCCAGGAACTCCCAGTGAAAATTAGGATTAAGTGGAGTGTTGTAGGGGGGAAGCAGGATGTCAGCTAGCCTGTCACTAGGTTAACAGGGGCAGCCGAGGCCATAGGTGACCACCTGCAAAGTCCAGTTTCTTTTTTCAGTGCCACTAAAGCCAAATAGGCCAAAGGGCACAACAGCAAAATGGGATGCACTGGACCCAAATGAGGTTTACAGGTGTTGATACAGGCGGCAATCAAACCAAGAGTGCCAGGTTGAAAAGCACGGAAGACCCAGAACCTGGACATTGGGAACCCGGGCTCAGAACTGACAAGGTGTTAAGAATCCAGAATCTCACTCCCGCTGCACAGATGAGGCACCGAGGTCTACAAACACACAAGTGTTACTCAAGGACGCGCGGCGCGGTGGCACCGGGTCTCGAACTCGCGACCCTCGCTAGACCCAACCCTCAGCCCTGGCCGGACCCCACAGCCCCACTCACACGACCCCGTTCCGGAAGCCCTTAATAATTGCCAGTGCAGTATGGTAGCGGCGCTTGCGCAGCAGCGTGTTGACAGCCCGGAGCAGGGCCTGCAGCGGCGACGGGTCGGCCATGGCACTGGAGGATCCCGGATCTGTGCTGGACGCGCACTGACAGCGCCGGGTTCCGGGCGCACAGCCCACTGCACGGGAGCTCCGCCCCATAATTGTATCCATGGGCTGAGTTAGCCGTCACTCATACACGGAGAACCAGTCATAGAGCGAGCTCGCCTACACGGAGGCGGGCGCGCTCTGTCTTCGGACTGTCAGATTGGAAGAGAAAGAGACTTGGTAACCAATCGCAGTGACTCGGCGGGTCTCACGCAGGATTCGCCCAATCAGAAGGCAGTTTTCTTAGGGACAAGTTCGGTTCTCCTCTCGGGGTGGAAAGGGGTTTGCTTTCTTCAATGGGCGACTTTTGGGAGTTGGCACTGGCCTCATCTCTACACATGACACTGTGGATGCCTAGCCGGTATTAACAACCATCTTCTCAGAGCTTGAAGCAGGGCACTCTTGATGGCCTTCACTTACTACTGTTGTTTTTGCTGCTGTTGCTGTTTAGATTCTTTAAAGCTTTATTTTTAAGGGTCGGGCGTGGTAGCACACGCCTTTAATCCCAGCACTTGGGAGGCAGAGGGAGGCGGATCTCTGTGAGTTCAAGGCCAGCTTGGTCTGCATAGTGAGTTCCAGGACAGCTGGGGCTACAAGGGAGACCCTGTCTCAAAAATACCCCTGCCCCCCCCAAAAGCTGTTGCTGTTTAGATTCTTTAAAGCTTTATTTTTAAGGGTCGGGCGTGGTAGCACACGCCTTTAATCCCAGCACTTGGGAGGCAGAGGGAGGCGGATCTCTGTGAGTTCAAGGCCAGCTTGGTCTGCATAGTGAGTTCCAGGACAGCTGGGGCTACAAGGGAGACCCTGTCTCAAAAATACCCCTGCCCCCCCCAAAAGCTTTATGAGAGAGAGAGAGAGAGAGAGAGAGAGAGAGAGAGAGAGAGAGAAGGTGCCCACAGAGACTGAAGGCATCGGATTCCCTGGAGGTGGAATTAGAAGTGATTGTGAGCCACAGGATGTGGGTGCTGGGAACTGACTTCAGGTCTGTTGCAAGGGAAGTTTGTGCCCTTAACTACTCTGCCATCTCTCTCCCTGTTGCTTGTTTTTAAAAAGACAGAATCTCATGTAGCCCAGGGCTGGCCTTGAATTCCTAAACCTCCTACCTCTACTTCCCATGTGCCAGAATTACAGGCTACTGTTAAAATCCAGTCTTTCTCGGCCCACAGAAGAACTTACGTTATTCGTGGCCCTTACCTCCCATTCTACACTCTACCTTCTCTCCAATGAAAATGGCCTACTTTCTGTTTCTTGAGTGTGCCAAGAACCCCTCTGCCTTTCTTAGTCTCCTGCCTGGAATTCATCACTCACCCTTCATATGTCTGATGCATCTACAGGTGTCAGCTCATGTACCACCAAATCAGCGAAGCCTTCCAGGATATCTCACTGAAAGTAGGGCCACTCACTCTCATCACCGTGTTGTTGTTTTTTCCTCCATAAACCTTTTCATACTTTGAAATGGTTGCTACATGCTCAGTGTCATCATCATTACTGTACTGTTCGTTCCATGGGGGATAGAAAGCTGTTTGTCTTGTTTTCTGGTGTAACCTCAGCATTCAATATTTGGAACTCAACACGTGCTTGTTGAAACAGTAAGATTTTGAGATACCACTCCCAAGAACATTGATGGGTAACATTTACATATAATGTTACTGTGTAGAATTGCCATTAGGTAACAGTCACACATCCAGTGGTGGCTGGAACTTGGGAGGATATCCCCTGATATTTGGGCTATGTGATATTTACCTATGATATTTCCTGGGTGGGTATCAAAGGACAGTGTCAGATGACAGTGAAGGAAGAGAAATGTGCCAAAACAGGATTTTTCTTTTTTCTTTTATGATCAACTAGTTTATTCAGTTAATTCTCTAAGAATAGTCTCTTAGAAAATAGTGACTGGGGGACTAGGGATGTAGCTTAGTTAGTAGAGTGTCTAGCATACAGGAATCTCTGGGTTTGATCCCTACCACCTCATCAACCAGGTGTGGTTGTGTGTATACCTGTAATCCCAGGACTCCTGAGGTGGAGGCAAGAGTCTCAGAAGTTCAAGGTCACTCTCAGCTATATGTATCATGAGTTCTAAGCCAGCCTGGGATATGTGAGATCCCATGGGGTGGGCAAGCTACAGAGATAGCCAGATCAGCAGAGTGCTTGCCATGTAAGCCTGAGGACTTGAATTCAATCCCAGAATACACATAAAAAGCTGGGTGTGGTGGTGCAAGTTTATGATCCCAGTTCTGGGGCGGCAGAGACAGGTATGGGATTATTGGAGCTTATGGGTCAGTCAACGTAGCCTAATCAGTAAGCCCCAGGTTCCAGTGAGACATGCTGTCTCAAAAAGGCAAGATGGACAGTTCCCGAGGAACAGACCTGAAGTTGACCTCTGGCCTCCATAAGCACATGTACACGTGCATATGCACTGGCACACACATATGCACCCACATGTACACAAACACATACATACATTCACACACACAAGAAAACAGTTACTGTCACTATGTCTGTGTTGTTGTTACAAAATGACTATGTTGTAAAAATATTCTCTTCTGAAGCCTACACACTGCTGCCATCTTTTTTCCTATGGGAAGTGGATGGCCTATAGGTGTTGAATGGGTCTCCATTCAGTGACCCCTGAGAAGTTCGAGTGCATCTTGCTAGTACTCAACAGCAATACAGATGAGCAGGGAATAGCCTTCACTATTGTTGCCATGAAGGATATGGAGCAGATATATGCTCACATGGTGTTGAGGAAATCAGACAGGACCTAATAAAGAGCACTGGAGGACTCACTGAGGATGAGGTGGACCACGGACCACAGCTATACAGAATCCACACCAGAACAAGACCCTGCTTTGAACAGACAGGACATGAGGGATTCCATAAATACTGAAAATGTGAGTTTCAGTTATCAGATACAGGGAAAGAGGGACAGAAGTTAAAGTCCAGGGCCTGCCCAAAGTGGAGTAACTTACATCAGAATCTCCTCAGGTTAAGCTGAGTCCCCTCCCCCGAAAGGATTTCATCTTCCAGTCTAATGTTACATGAAACCATTGTGGAACCCACACCACTAGCCTCAAGGAACCCCAGAAAAGGCTGCTTCAGGGGCTGACCGGAACAGTGGAAAGATACATTCTTTTTTTTTTAAAGATTTTTCTTGGGAAGTCGTAACCATTAATGAGTCTTTTTTGCACCCCAAGGAGAACAGACTGGTAGGTCTCAAATGATGCCAACTGTGGTGGTGAACACATGCACTCTCAGCACTCCTGAGAGGCAGAGACAGAAGGGTCACGGACTTGATTCTAGTGTATGCTATCTTGCAAGACCCTGTCTCAAAAAAACACAAAAAACAAAAACCAACCAAACAAACAAAAACCCAGCAGATGCAAAGCTAATCTGAAAAACATATCCTGTGTCTCTTGCTTCAGGAAACCCTCAAAATAATTTTTCACAGATGATGACCAGCACATGGTCAGAGATAGAGATAATCAGGTTCCCAACACAACATGAAGAATCAACAAATCAACATAGATTATAAATAATTCAGATTACTGTGATTCAGGCATAGGTTTTCAAGTAAAAATAGTGAATACAAAATGTAAAGCCAGAAAATAGCTAGAGAACAGGAAACTTTTTTAATGTAACTAATTTGGTAACCCCAGCCCTTGAGAGATGGAAATGAGTCAGGAATTCAAGGCCATCCTCAGCTTCAGAGTGAGTTTGAGGCAACCTGGGTTACATAAGACCCAGTCTCAAACTCTTTCTTCTCTCTCTCTTTCTCTCTCTCTCTCTCTCTCTCTCTCTCTCTGCAATTTGAAAAAGTGCTAAGCAAAACTTTTAGAAATGTCATCTGCCACTCCCATGGAGTCACTGAGTTCTTACATGGGGCCCAGGATCGAAACAGGGTATTTGGAAAGTGTGATTAAACCTCCCATGGTGCTAAAGGCAAAGAGTTGCCACAATAGGAACATTGCTAGTGACCCATTTTAATTTTTGCATAACTCTAAGTACCTCAGGGCAGGCTTGTTTATTTGCTTTTGCCCAGAAAAGCAAAATTTAGTGTTTGTAGAGTACTTACTGTGTACCAGTTTTCCTGTTTGCTTTTGTACATGTGGTGGTGGTTATCAAACCCAGGGTCATATGCATACTGATAAGTGCTCTACCCTGAGCTATAACCACAGCTTAAATATCTTGTTAACCATTTTTATTCTTATAGAAACCCAGTTAACCTGTGGGAAACAGAGAAGGAAAGTTACTTGCCCAAGATGATGTGCTAATAGGAGATAAAGGCAGGCTTTAAATTCGGGTCTCTTGGCTTGGCTCCAAACCTCTGATCTTAATCACTACATTAGTTTGTTAGCAAAATACCACCGAAGTAAGCCAACAGAAATCTATTTTATCAGCGTCCTGGAAGCTAGAAGTCAAAGACCAAGTTGCTAGTAGGCTTTGTTTCTCTGGAGGCCTTTCTCCTTGGTACACAGAGAGGGCCTTTTTGAGTTCTCACGTGGTACTTGCATAGTCACCACCGACAACTGTATACATGTCTTTTTTAGCCAAGCATGGCGGCACACACCTTTAATACCAGCACTTGGAAGATAGAAGCAGGTGGATTTCTATGAATTCAAGGCCAGCCTGGTTTACATACCGAGTTCCAGGCTAGCCAGGGCTACATAGTGAAACCCTGTCCCAGGAAAAAAAGGTTTAAAAATTACGTTTATTGATTGTGTTGGTGGGCCATGCACTCATGCCTGTGGCGGTTAAAGGACAACTTGCAGGAGTCAGTTCTCAGTGTCAGGCACCCTTACTGCTGAGCCATCTTGTAGGCCCTCATTTTGTTCTCCCTTCCTCCAAAGTGAAGTCAAAGTTTTGGGGGTAACTAGAGCACTCACTGTGAAGTTGGATATTAGAAGTTTTTCAGTCTTTCCTTTTTCCCCTACTTGGCTCCATGCCTGAAATTACTACATTAGTTGCTTTAGAAGTTCAGTGCCAACCAGGTGACCCTGCGGAAATAGGACACAGAACTGATAAGATTTTGATGGGGAAGAGATGGTGGTAGGGAGTAGAAAGTCTCTGGCAGTTGGACTGGGGAATCTGTCAGAGTTCGGCTCTGCATTCCGGAGAGCTCATTCATTTGTCCCACCCAGTAAGCCATCAGTCAAGTATCTCCTTGGTGGCTTCTGTGTCAACACTTGAAGTTCACCCAGAATGGATGCAGTACTTCCCCTGCTCAGTGGGCGGGAAAAAGAGAATTGCCAATAGCAGGATATAGTCACCTGATAAGGTTGTGCCAGGTCCTGTGAGAACCTAGACAGTATTCCATTCTGTCTTCGGAGGCCTTAGAAAATTTCTCAGAGGAGGCAAGAAGGCAGGCTCCTCTTGTTTGGAGGAGGATTAAGAAAAACTGCCTTTCACTCTCTCCGACCCGCAGGCTTCTCTCTCCCGGGGTTTATACTGAGTACAATATTGTATATAATAATTCAACTGTAAACCTAAAACTTTACAGCCAATTTTGAAAAAGATGCATCTTAGCTCAGAAAATTGTTATTGAATTTGTCAATGCTGCTGTAATGAAATGTTTCTTCTAAGTATGTGGTTATTAAATAAATAACTGGAAAAAAAGAAAACTACAAAAAAAATCCTAAAAATGAACCTACCATATGGCCCAATTATAACACTCCTTAGCATATACCCAAAGAACTCATCCTATTGTAGAGACACTTGTAAAACCATGTTTGTTGCTGCTCTTTTCACAATAGCTAAGAGATGAAAGCAATGTAATTGTCCCTCAACTGACAAGTGGTTAACAAAAATGTGGTGTATTTATACAATGGAGTTCTATTCAGCAGTAAAGAAATTTGAAATAATGACATTTGCAGGTAAATGGATGGATCTAGAAACTGTTATACTAAGTGAAGTGACACAGACTCAGAAAAACAAACGATGTATGTTCTCCCTCATATGTGGCTCCTAGCTCCAAATCCTTTAAAATTACAGGTCCTTTTAATAAGAGGATGCTATACAGCAGTCCCTTCTGCATGAAATAACTACCATCATCTGCGTCCCTGTTCAGCATGGAAGAAGCCAGAGCGGTCGGTGTCCCTATTCCCTATTGGCAATTTAGGCAACCCCTTCAGAGGATGGTGTGATAAGAATAGGAGGTATGAATTGGTTAGGCAGATAGGGTAAAAAGACCCCAAAGAAATGAAGCCAGTTTCTCAGCTAAAAGTCAAAATGTCCTTGGGCCTGTTAGCAACATACTCTGTTCCAAAGGCCAAAAATGTCAAAAGTATTTGGGAGGTTGTATCTAATCCTTAAAAGATTTTAGGGTTACATCTTCAGAGGGGGGAATGTTGGAGAGGAGGGAGTGGGCACGGATTTGATCAAAACACCTTATATTCATGTATAAAATTCTCAATAAAGTTTTTTGTAAAAAAAAAAATCCTGCCTTTCAGGAAGTCAGAAGAGCATACAGAGCAGCTATGTGCATGGGAAATGCTTGGAAAGCTGTCATGAGTTGCACTGTGTTCAGGGACTCTTTCACTGTCCACTGTCTCCATCACCCGCAGAACACCACCTAAACTCTCACTTATTAGTCTCAGCTGCTCTTATAATCCTTGGCTCTGAGTGTGTGGGGAGTGGAGTGAATGCGAAGCAGGTGCTCTACACTGAGAGGCACCCCTAGCCCTTGACCTTGATTTTGACCTCGGAGTCTTTACACTTGCTGTTCCCTCAGCTTTCCTGTCTCTTTTCACATAGCTGACTTCATATCATTTCTTAGGTTGTCTACCTCCTCAGAGAGGCGCCTCCTGACCACTTGACTAAAATATTTTCTCTTTCTACCAGAAAAATTGAAGTCATGGGCCCTCTCTCCTTCTTCCCTTTCCCTTGTCTACTCCCTTGTTTACCTGCCTTTTCTCCTGCTGGACTGTAACTACATGAAGACAAAGATTTTTGTCTTTTCCTCCATGGCTGTGTTCCTAGAATTTAGAACCTGGCATATAGTAGATGCTCAACAAACAAGTTAAATGGCTGTGAATATGTTACTGTTTTATAATAATAATGATAACAACAACAATAATAAAAATTATGCTGTGCAACTCTTTAGGGAATTGATGAGAATCTGAGGCCAGTGGGCCAATGTAAATATTAAAGACAGGGAAGAAGGAATCTTGGCCTCACACCTTAAGACAGGTAATGGGAAGAGGGTTTGGGACTTGAAGTGGGCCCTGGGTCTCCAAGAATCCCAGGAGAAGGATTGGTCTTGGAATCTGTGAGGAGTGGGAGAAGTGGGGTTTTGTGGAGAAATTTGCTCAGGGTTCATGTGCTTTGAGAGATGGGAGGTGGATGGGGAAATGGCAGCAAGGGAAAAGGCTGATATTCAGAGCAGGATGAAGAATCCACTGGTGGAAATAAGATTTGAGGGTGTGACCCTGCAGAGGGTCTGAGGCAAATTAGCAGACCAGGGGAAAGCAGTGTTCCAACAGAGGAAAAGAGCTCTGAGTGCATTTTAATAATTAGGCATTTAGCCGGGAGTGCTAGCACATGCCTGTAGTCCCAGCACTTGGGAGGCAGAGGCAGGCAGATCTCTGTGAGGTCAAGGCCAGCCTGGTCTACATAGTGAGTTCCAGGACAGCTGGGGCTATGGGGAGACCCTGTCTCAAAAAGACACACACAAAAAATTAGGCATTTAGTGAATATGAGGTGAGGATGATGATTTGTATTGATTATTCCTCTGAGGCTAAGATAGATATTTATGTAAAGACAATAACATTTGAAGTCAAATCCATGGTGGTTCAGTCTTAGATATGGCTATGATCAGAGAAACCATCCATTGTTGATGGCACTTCTCTGGTTCCCTTCTCCCTCTGTGCATGTCCTCCAACTCTTCCTTATCACCCAATGGCAACTTAATGGCACACCTATCACACATTGTAACGAAATATTTTTTAAGTTTGAATGTCCATAGTATCAAACTGCCCTTTAAATTCATATCTCTATACCCACAGATTAGTGCAGCTTTCAAACCTCATGAGGGAAGTTTCACTGTACAGAGGGACAGTGGTTAACCTAAAGACAAGGGGCCAAAAGGCAGAGAGTAAGCATCTGTGGAGTGCTCAGACATAGTGGACATCGATATTACACATTCCTTCCGTAAAGGCTCAGGGACTGTCATGGAAGAGTGGGTAGAAAGATTCTAAGAGCCAGAAGTCAGAAAGGTCCAGGACTAAACAGTGCCTTCTGGACATGACATTCATGCTGCACACATGAATGCAGAGTAAGTGTGCTTGTCTGCAAAAGACCTTCACAAGATCACTCCTGTCAACATTCCAGCATGGCTGGGGGAAAGGTACACAAGCCTCCATGACTAGCTAAGGAGCTATTGACAACTGGGAGCTGCTCTGGTAGGGATCAGTTTTCTTTAAGAGTGTGGCTGCTGGTAGGTCAACCCTGCTCCAATGGATGGTCCCACACCCATGAGTATATGGGCTGCACAAATTGGACTCCATGGTAACAACACTTATCATAGAGCTGGAGTTCAATCCCTGGAACCAACTGTGCAAGGAGAGAACCAATTCCTAAAAGCTATCCTCTTATCGCCACACATGTTATGGCATTTGTACCCACACACAAACAACACACAAATGTAAAAATAAACCAAGGACATGAAGTTGGAGTGAGTCTGGGAGGAGTGGAGGGGGCTGAGTATGATCAAAACACATTGTATACATGTATGACATTTTCAAAGAATGAAAGTATATATATTCGGGGCTGGAGAGATGACTCGGCCATTAAGAGCACTGACCGCTCTTGCAGAGGACCCAGATTCGACTCCCAGCACCCACATGGCGGCTCCTTAACTCCATGTCCTTAACTCCATTTCCAGGGGAATCCAACGCCCTCTTCTGACCTCTTCTGACCTCCATGACAGCTGCATGACACGGGTGCACACACATACATACAGGCAATATACTCATACACATAAAATAAAAATCATAGCCGGGTGTGGTGGTGCACTCCTTTAATCCCAGCACTTGGGAGGCAGAGGCAGGCTGATCTCTGTGAGTTCAAGGCCAGCCTGGTCTACACAGTGAGTTCCAGGCCAGCTGGGGGTACAGGGAAACCTTGTCTCAAAAAGACCCCCCCAAAAGAAAATCATAAATATTTAAAAAACATGCAGACAAAACACTCAAACGCATTAAAAAAAAGTATATATATTTTTAAAAGACTGAATGTCCAAAGTTGGTCATGGCAGTCAGCCTGGACTACGTAAGACCTTGTCACAAAACTAAATAAAGATAAAACGTGGGGGTGGACATAGCTCAGTAGTAGAACACTTGTCTAGTATGCACAAAGCCCTGGTTTCCATATTCTATACTGGGGTGTGAGTGTGTGTGTTATCTTTTTTTCTTCATTCCTAATACCATGAGAAAGGCCCACTGAATTACTAGAGCCATTATGGTACCAGGTGCATAGTACGTATTGGCACTTGAATGAAGGTGATCTCCATCTCTGTCTGTCTCTCTGTCATAGGGGGTAGGGTCCAATGAAGGATGGGAGGGGGTCCTGTATGGAGTTGGGTGGTCCAGGTGAGTGGGAATGGGGGCCGATGCTGAGAGGCTCGCGCAAGCTGTGTGCAGCGGTCTGCGAGGCGTGCTGCAGAACTGGGGCTTCTCTGCAGGGCTGAGGGGTGTCCCTAAGAGTTGGGGTCCAGGTGTAGGTAGGTGGGATGGGAGGAGCCTGGCGAGCGACGGACGCGGGTCCCCACAGAGCTGACGTGACCCGGGAGCTGGACGAGGCGAGGATGTCGCCAAAGCGGGCGTCCCGGGAGCCCAAGCTGTGTTTCCGGGGCAGGGGGCTCGGCTAGTGGGCGCCCCCTTGCGGCCTGGACCCCGCTGCCGTCGCCGCCGCCGTGGTTCCCACAATGCTCGCGTAGCCCGGCTCCGGCTCCGGCGGCGGCAGCAGCGACAACTCCGACTCCAAGATGGCGCAGGCGATCTTCGAGGCCCTGGAGGGTGAGCACGGCGGGGCCAAGGGAGCGGCTGTTCCGCGTGGCGCCCCCTCCCGCCTCGCCCTCGAAGCGCAGGGCCCAAGGGCGCGCGGCGGCCGCGGGGCGGAGGGCGTAGGGGCCGGAACAGCCGCAGGGCGGGAGGGGCGCGGGTGGGAACAGCCGCCGGAGTCCGCGGCCCGGCGGGGGAGGGAACGACCGGCCGGGAACAGCCAGGGGAGAGCCGGCTCTGCGGGGAGGGGGTCTCGGGACCGGAACAGCGCGAGCAGCGGAGGCCGCGGGCTCGTGCGGTGCGGTGTGGTGCGGTGCGGGCGGGAGGGAGGGAGTTTGTTGAGGGAACAGCCCGGCGGACCTGGGCGTCTCGGGAAGAGACTGCGGTGCTGCCCAGGCCCGCGCATCCGGACCTGGGTGAACGACTCCGAGGCCAGCTCTGCCTAGGGCTGGAATGTAGTTTCCTACACGCCCCGGGCTGGGAGAGACCACAGGTCCAAACTAGCGGAGCTGGGCGTCGTGCCTGGGGTACTGAGTTAATAAAACTCAGCCAGGACCAGTGCCGGCCTCGGACGGCATCGGAGCCAGTTGTCCTGTAATCTGCAGGATCAAGGATGAGGGTGGTGCGAGAATTTACTTTGAGTGTTTTGCCTGCATGTTTGTTAGAGCACCCGTGTTGTGCAGTGCCCGAGGAGTCAGAAGAGGACGTCAGGATCGCCTGAAACTAGAGTTACGGATGGTTGTGGGTGCTGGGATTCAAACCCAGGTCTCCTGCTAGTACTCAACCGCTGAGCCATCTCTCCAGCCCCCAGGCTGAGAGAATTTTAGACTTTGGAGACAGCGAACCCCACCAACACTATGGGGACCTGCTGGGGTTTAGCTTTTGAGATCTGCACAGTTAAGGGAATTCTGTGTGCGCCCCCCCCCCCGCCGTGTGGTGTGAATGTACAGTTAGAGAAACTGGTTGTGGGCAGGAAGAGTCTTGCGCTTCCCTCGGAGATCTCTGCAGCCTTGCTTCTCAGAGGACGAGTTTCTTCCGTGGACCGAAGATCTTCACATCTACAGAGGTCCAGTTTCAGCACAGTCTCCTCATTCCCCCTTCCTCCTACAGCCACCTCTCCCCCTGCCACAATTATGGGAAAGAATGGTAAAAGATCATGATTTTTAGCCAGCTGTGGTGCATGTCTGTAATCCCAGCATTTGGAAAACGGTGGCAGGAATATCAGGTTAGCCTCAGCTATGTACGTTCTGAACAAGTTTTTGAAGCCAGTTTGGGCTCCTGAGACTTGTTTTTAAAAAACAGAACAGGGGCTGGAGAGATGGTTCAGCGGTCAAGAACACTGGTTGGTCTTGCAGAAGATCCAGGTTTGAATCCCGGCACCCACATGGCAGCTAACAACTGTCCTGTAACTCCAGTTCCAGGGGATCCGAGGGTCTCTTCTGCCCTCCTTCGGCACTGCACGACACGGGTGCACTTACCTACATGCAGACAATACACTCATACACATAAAATAAAAGTAAAAAAATATTTAAAAAAAAACCCTAAAAACAGTTTAGGATGGCCTCAGCTGGTGTGGGCTATGTGAAGAAAATAAGCAGGGACTGATGGACCTGAGCAGTTGGGGTTATTGGGGATAGGGGGTTCCCTCCTGGAGAACAGTGGGGTGTTGCATTAAATGTTTGCTGCAAGCATGTGTTTGTGTATTGGATAATGAAAAAAAAAATTAAAAGAAAATCAGAAAGTATTCATTGGCCTTGGCAGGACCCCAGCACCAAATACAAAGTGAATAAAGATGAAAGTGGTTCCTTGGACATTATGATGCAGGCTGGGTAAGGAAGGGCAGCAGGACTGTGGAGATCCACCGGGGAGGACATCAGAAATATCCAGGTGGTGGAAATGGCATTTACCAAACCCTGAAGAGAGCAAGCTTTTCCATGAGTCACAGAAGTTCAGTGTGGGGGAGCAGAGAGAGATGCGACCTCCACTGCATTCATAAAGCTTCTGAACTTTATCTTGGGATTAGTTTGGTGCTAAGAAAAGGTTTTCAGCAGGGAACCTGCATGATCTGATGCATGTTTTATAAAATTCACTCTGGCTGCTTGGGATTGGGAGTGGACTAGAGGGGGTGCCTGAATGGCAACGGGGTGTGTGTGTGAATGAGGAGCCAGGCCAGGGGACAGCTGAGGGGATGGAAAGGATGGATTTCAGATATGTTTGGAAGGCAGAATAAGCCAGATTTTCCAGAGGCATAGAAACGTAGGAAGGAGTGCGTACCACAGTGGCCTTGTTTGGAAGGACAGTGTGCCCTATTGTCCTGCTTATAGTAATTGTTACAGGAAGAGAAACAATGTTGGGGGGGTCAGCATGGCATATTTAATTTGGGCTGTATTTTTATTTTTTATTTTTAAAAATATTATTTTTATGTGTATGAATGTATTGCCTGCATGTATGTGAGTGCACCTGTGTCATGCAATGCCGCAGCAGTCAGAAGAGGGCTTCAGATTCCCCTGGAACTGGAGTTAAGGGTGGTTTTAGCCACCATGTGGGTGCTGGGAATCTAACCCGGGCCCTCTGCAAGAGCAGTCAGTGCTTTTAACCGATGAGCTACCTCTCCAGTCCCCTTGGGCTGTATTTTTGTTTTCATTTATTTCTGTGTGTTTTGTGTGCATGTGTGTGTATGCTCATGCCACAGCACAGATGCGAAGTCAGAGGACAGCTTATAGGAGTCAGTCTTCTCTTTTTTTTTCGTACAATAAGCTGTGGTTTTTACTACTTAGAAAAGCCTCATGGTTATTTCACTTTCTGATTCTGTGCTTGTGCCTTCAACACTTTCACAACGATTTTCTGCTCCTCAATGAGGAAAGCACGCTTGATCATGTCACGAACACATTTCGCACACATATAACCACCATAGGCCCTGCTGGCATGTTTTTCTTTTTTGGACAATCTCATGAGGACTTTAGGTCTCACAGCACGAACCCCTCAAAGTCTGCCTGGGCACACAACACATGAAGATTTTGGTGCTTTCCCAACCTTCTAGGTATAAAGGTAAACAATCATGCTACCAGGGGTTCAGGATAGCCTAGTTTTGTTAGAGGATGTGTTGTAGGAAAGCCTACAACGGTATGTCAAACACTGGACCATGCTGACAAACACCCCCCCACCCCCCGTCCCCCAGAAGAGCCAGTCGTCTCCTTTTATCATGTGGGTCCTGGGACTCAAACTCAAGTCATCAGGCTTGGTGGCAAGGGTCTTTTTTTACCCACTAAGCTATCTCACAGTCCCAGAGCTGTATTTTTTTTAAATTAAATATTGTATTTGGAAAGAACTTTTTCTGTAGGTACTCACAGTTTTAAGAAACAATATAAAGTGATCCCAAGTACCCCATTTTTCACCCAGTGGTAACAGTATGTGATTCTATTGCATAGCACTACCTGTCAATACAGAAGAGTTCTTTTTCTTGCTGTTGTCCTTTTCTAGCTGTTGGGCAGCTCACAGAAGCCTGTAACTCAAGCACTGCTACTACACTCACATACACAATTACACACACACACACACACACACACATACAATTTAAAAATACTAATAAAACAAAAATGGAGCTGGAGAGATGGCTCAGCAGTTAAGAGCACTGACTGCTCTTACAGAGGACCTGGGTTCTATTCCCAGCACCACATGGTGGCTAACAACTGTCTATAACTCTAGTTCCAGAGGATCCAGTGCCCTCCTCTGTCCTTCATGGGCATTGTACAACATGGGTACACTTACATACATGCAGACAATACCCTCATACACAAAAATAAAATATTTTTTAAATACTAATAGAAAAGGAATATTATGTAAACAGAATAGTAGAGTAACCCCTGAGATTTGCATTTTTCCCCTTCACAGTCCCTTGAAAATACATCTTGGTTGCTGTGTCTGTTGGTGCTTTGGTTTTTTATTGCTGAAGGTTGCACAGCATAGGTAGATGTTCCTCAGTTTGTTTTAACCCTTGACCCCTTGAGGGCTCTCTAAACAGAGTCCACTTTTTTGCTTTGTTTTTTGTTCCTTTTTTTTTTCATGTATTCCAGGCTGGCCTCAAACTCATTATGTAGCCCAGAATGACCTTCAACTTCTGATATTCTTGCCTCTTACCTAAGATTAAAGGCTTGCAGTACCACACATGATTTTTGTGGTGCTGGGATTGAACCCAGAACCTTGTGCATGCTAGGCAAGTGCTCTAATAACAGCTACATTCCCAGCCCCCTCTAGATTGTTTCTAGTTTTACTATTGTGAGTAAAAGGTCTATGAGCATTCATAAACAGATTTGCACCTAGATATAAAAAACATGGTTTTGCATAAGATTGGGAAAGGGTTTGCAGAAGCTTGTTTAAGAGAACAGGAACCCTAGATTTGCACTTCCCAATATTGGAAGGAACTAGATGGGGGCAGAGTGAGACTACCCAGGGACAGTGCAGGAAGGAGAGTCCTGATCTTAAGGAAGCCCCCAAAGTAGCAACCTTTGGGGCTGGACAGGAGAGAACAAGAGAGGCCCTAACAAGGGACTGGAGAGATGGCTTAGAGGTTAAGAACAGTTGCTATCTTTCAGAGGACCTGGGTTTGGTTCCTAGTACCCATGTGACAGTTCACAACCATCCATAACTCCAGTTTCAAGTTTCTAGGCAGTTTCAAGTTTCAAGGCAGTTTCAAGGCACTGCATGCATGTCATGCACTTACATGCATACAGAGTGTTAGTTAGCTTTCTATTGCTGTGATAAAACACTGGCCAAAGCCAACTTGGGGAAACAAGGGTTTATTTCATCTTACACTTCCAAGGCACAGTCCATCTTTAGGGGAAGTCAGGTGGAAACTCAGGACAGGAACTTAGGATAGGAAACTGGAAGCAGGAACTGAAGTGGAGACCATGGAAAAGCAATACTGACTTGTGCCTCTGGCCTGTGCTCAGCCTGCCTTCTTATACAACTCAAGACCACATGCCCAGCAATGGCACCACCCACAGTGGGCTGGGCCCTCCCATATCACTCAATCAAGAAAATGCCTCACAGACATGCCCGTAGGCCAGTCTGATAGAAGCAATTCCTCAATTGAGGGTCCCTCTTCTCAGGTGTGTCAAGTTGACAATTGACTCTGTCCAGCACAGTTGACCCCTTGACAACATGACACACAAATCACTATTAAACTGTAACCTTTCCATTTCTTGTCCCCAAGATCTTATGTTAATATTAATGTCACAATATAAAACATAGAACTTTGAAAGTCCTACAGTCCTTGAAAATTCTAATACTTTAAAAGCTCAATGTCTTTCTAAAGTCTCTTAACTGTGGGTTCCTGTAAAACCAAAACCAAGTTATATACTTATTTCCAAAGGGAAGAACCAGACACACTTAAGCAAAACCAAATTCCAGCAGTGTAGCTTGATGTCGGACATCTGGGATGCACTAATGATCTTCTGGGCTTCAAAGGGCTTGGGCAGCTCCACTTCTCTGGCTCTGCCACCTACAGCATATGCAGCTTGTCTCATAGGCTCAGGCTGGCTCCATATCACATCTGCTACTGCCCTTGGTCGTCCTCCCACAGTCCTAGCATCTCTGCTATATCCTGGGGTCTCCACTGCAACCAGTGGCCTCTCTTGGCCTCACAGGGTGCCAGGCCTCAGATTCTATGACCCATCAATCCTGGGGTCTCTATAACTGAGGCTGCACCTTCACTAATGGCCTCTCTTGGTCTCGCAGCCTCAGATTCTCTTCATGACTCCTTCATGCCTTCAAAACCAGCACCATCTTGGAGACTATTACACATTGCCAAGTCTTGCTTCTAGCTTGAGATGCAGTCTTGGCCTCCTCTGGACCACAGCCTCCATGTGCTGACCCTGAGGAAATATTTCCCAGAAGATATCACTCAGTGATGATGGTCTCTTCTTAATCGAAGCTGATTGCTCAGCCCCAGCTGACCAGCATCAGTTGTCCCAATAAAGCACGTAAGATGTCATGTTCAAAAATTCTGAACTCAAAATATATCACACAAATGGCCCAGGTAGAGTTGTTGAGGGACTCTCAAACTTCCCTTTGAAGCATCACAGCCCAGGCCTCCATGTCTCCATTTCTCTCAACATCATCTTCCTAGTTCCCACAGAACAGTTCACTAAACTTCAAGCACTCAGTGGTTTTTCCAGCCCAAAGTTCCAAATGCGTTTACAGTCCTCCCCCAAACAACCTTGGTCAGGTCCTCACAGCAATACCTCATGATCCTGGTACCAATTTCTGTTCTAGTTTGCTTTCTACTGCTGTGATAAAACATTGGCCAAAGCCAACTTGAGGAAGGAAAGTTTTATTTAGCTTATAGTCACATTACATCATTAAGGGAAGCCAAGGTGGGAACTGAAGCCGAGACCATGGAGGAATGCTGCTTACTGGCTTGCTCCTCTGGCCAGTACTCAGCCTGCTTTCTTATACAACTCAGGACCACCTGCCTGGGGTGGCACCACATGCAGTGGGCTGGGCCTTCCCATGTCACTCAACAATCAAGAAAATGCCTCGCAGACATGCCGGTAGACCAATCTGATAGAGGAAAATCCCTAATTGAAGTTCCCTCTTCCTAGGTGGGTCATTTTGACAACTTAAGCTCTCTGGCACACAGGCAAAGTACTCATCATACACATAAAACATCCGAAAATACAAAGGAGGTACCAACAAAGTAGAGAGGATCCAGGAAGGGGGGTACCTGGAGCCAAGACTTCTTGGTCTATCAGAGGCTGTTGGATGGTCTTTGGTAGATGGTAGACACAATCTACCAAAGGAAGAGGCTTGGAAGGTGGGCAGAGAAGTTAAAGGGCATAAGCAATCTTCATCAGATACTTGATGTTGGAGGGAAAAATGAGAACAAAGAAAGCAAAGGTGTCCAAGTACCAACAGACTTGTGGGTTGTGGGTGAAGAGGATTAGGATTTCCAGAGGGCCGGGTGACTTAGGATCCAGCAGGGGCTTTGATAGCCTACAAAATTGTTCATAGGAAGTCCAGAAGGAAGTGGCCTAAAGCTATGGGTTGGCTGTGAACACGCTTTTCAAGGCCCAGGAGTGATCCAGCCTTTTTTTTTTTTTTTTTTTTTTGACACAGGGTTTCTTTGTAGCCACAGCTGGTCTAGTCACTACCTCACTGCACAGAACAGGCTGTCCTGGAGCTCCCAGAGATCTGTCTGCCTCTGCCTCCTGAGTGCTGGGACTAAAGTTGTACGCCACCATGCTGGGAAGTTCCAGCTTTTTTTATGTGCTGGAGATTAACCTTAAGGCTTTGTATATGCTAAACATGTACTCTGTTACTTGTTAAGGTTCAGATAGCCCTGCCCCCTCACCAACAGGATCCCAAGGACTTTTCATGCTCCTGAGAAAAGGGAACCTAGCTGATAAGCACCTTGGTCTTTGAAGTCAAGAGAAGCAGACTTTTCTCCACTGTTTGGCCAACACAGTAGGCTTCCTCTTTGATCTCTAAAGAGGACAGGTTTTAACAGTCCCACTCTCCCACTCCCCCCCCCCAACTTTAAAAAAAATACATCTTCCCGCCTTCTGCAGGAAGCAGAAGCCTCCTTTTTAAAAGACCCCAGCTCAAGACCCAGGAAGACATTTTCCCTGCCTGGAAGGGAATCTGTCCCATGTGTTCCTTTGCTAATAAACCCTATTTTGATGGAGTTTTAGCTGTGCCTCGGTGCCTCATCATCCATTCGCTCGTTCTCCACCAACTTCTTACCTATCATTACTAAGCTATACACTCAGCCCCTCTTTCCAACTTTTTGTTTTCCAATCCGTAGAGCTTGTCTTTATGGCCAGGTATGGTGTGTAGAAAGTTCCATGTTGTAGCTAAAATTTCTCCTAGGAGGCACAAATGACATCCGGCCACCTCCTCCCTTGTACTGAGGTACAAATTTGCCCAGCTACAGTCTGAGAAACCAGTAACTTTATTGGACTTACAGAGCATTGGGTGAAAGAGTGTGGGTGCTCCCCTCCTAAGGCTGCACTGGACCATCTCCGTCCAGGCATGACTTCCCCACAGCTGCACAAAATGGTGAGACACGCCCTAGGACTTCTTTAGTTTATATACTCTTAGCCCTTCCCCCTCCTGCAACTAGGACCAATTGGTTGGGAGGTGTGACTGATTCTCCCTGCCCCGCCTTTCTTCAGCGGGTTAACAGTCAACAGGTTTGGCTGTGATGGTCCTAGGTGAGCAGGTGCAACCAACCTTGGGAAGAAGACATCTGCCCATACTCTGCCTGTTGGTGGACAGTCCTATGCAACACGTGTCCTTGTCTAGGAAACAGAATGAGGAATGGGAAAAAAAAAGGGGGCTGTATACTGGGCAACTTTTAAAAAATATATTTTATTTATTATTTTAATTTATGTGTACGAGTGTAATGCCTGCGTGTGTGAGTGCACCTGTGTCATGCAATGCCCATGGAAGTCAGAAGAGGGGGTCCAATTCCCCTGGAACTGGAGCTACATATGGTTGTTAGCTGCCATATGGGTGCTGGGAATTGAACCCATGTCCCCTGCAAGAACAGCCAGTGCTCTTAACTGCTGAGCCATCTCTCCAGCTCTCTAGGCAGCTCTTAAAAAAAATCTTGGACTAAAGATGTAGCTCAGTTGGTAGAATGCCTGCCTAGCATGTGTGAAGCCCTGGGTTCGACCTCCAGCCCCACATAAAGCAGAATGTGAAACCAGGTGTGGTGGCACACGCCTTTAATCCCAGCACTCAGGAGGTAGAGGCAGGTGGATCTCTGCGAGTTCAAGGTCAGCCTGGTCTACATAGTCAGTTCCAGGCCAGCTACAGGGAGACCCTGTCTCAAAAAGACCAAAAAAAAAAAAAAAAAAACCAAAAAAACGGATGCGAAGATGCACACTTGTAATCCCAGCACTTGGGAAGCTGACATGGGAGGGATCACCATGAGTTCAAGTCCAGCCTGAGCTACAGTGAGTTCAAAGCCAGCTTGGGCTATAAAGTGAGACCCTCTCTCAAAAAAAGGAAGAGCTGAGTGTGATGATACATACCTTTAGTTTCAGTTCTCAGGAGGCAGAGCCAGGTGGCTATTTGGGAGAGCAAGGCTAGCCTGGTCTACATAGTGAGTTCTAAGCCAGCTGGGGCTACTAGGAGAACCTATCTCAAAAAACAAACAACAAAATGGAAGGAAGCTTAATCTTTTTATTATTATTATTATTATTATTTTATTTATGTGTATGTGTGTATGCTATGTGTGTGCCTCATAGAGGCCAGAAGAAGGTATCAGATCCCCTTGAGCTGGAGTTATAGTCCTGACATGAATGCTGGCAACCAAACTCAGGTCCTTTGGAAGAGCAGCAAGTGCTTTTAACCATTGAGCCATCTCTCCAGCCCCCAAAGACTGAACTTCTGAAAAACTTCCATGTAACACCTTCTGTCCCCCTTGGCCAGTATGTATGTAGTCCTTTGCTAGCTGTAAGAGAGGTTGAGGGGTGCAATCTTTATTCTGGGACCGTGTTTCCAGTCTCATATCCTGGAATCTGTTGCAGTGAAGTAGGAGAGAATGTATTTTGGGGGAGCCATCCGGCCACCCAACTGCTTTTGCCTGGGTTGTTTACAGTAAGTCTAATTTGTAAGAATGATGTCAGAGCAAGAGCTGGGCACACCTTCCTCACAGTCTGCTTTGCCTTTTTCAGGAATGGACAATCAGACCGTTCTGGCTGTCCAGTCATTGTTGGATGGCCAAGGAGCAGTCCCTGATCCAACAGGACAGAGTGTCAATACACCCCCTGCCATCCAGCTGCTGGGTGAGTATCTGCTCTGTTCACCAGTGGAAGGCAAGTGGCTCCTCATGTGGAACAATTAGGGCTCATGGGGTATTGGAGGGAACTGCCTCTGTGGTCCCAGGCTGTCCTTGGTGACTGAACTCTCTCCCTCCCAGCCTGGACCTTCAGGCTCTAGCCTTTCTTGGCTTAGCACCAATGATACCTTCTCTCCCCTACTTAGAGCTAGTATCATTTGAGAATAGCTAAGAGCCTGGAGTCCCTGCAACACTTATACCTTTGCCCTGGAAATCATTTATCAGTTTCCCTTCTATGTAGAGAACAGGCTAAGTATGAATTTCTCCAGTTTATGAGCCAGGTCCCTGACACCCAGAGAGGGCAAAGAACTTCTTTGGGAAGTCTTTATGTGAATTTGTATGCTCATTCATCTGTTCCACAAACGTTATTTATTGTGTTTTTAAGGCATGGTCTCATATAGCCCAGGCTGTCCTTGAACTTGCTACTTACAGAGAATGGCCTTAAACTCCTGATCCTCCTACTACCTCCCAAGTGCTGGGATTATAGGCATGTGCCATCATGCCTAGCCCACAAGCATGAGAAACACAGCTTCCTAATAAAAGAATATATTTTTAAAACTGCTTGTAAAAAAAGAAAGACAGGGGCTGGAGAGATGGCTCAGCTATTAAGAGCACTGGCTGTTCTTGCAGAAGATCTGGGTTTGAATCTCAGCACCCACATGGCGGCTAACATCCATAGCACCAGTTCTAGGGGATTTGATGCCCTCTTCTGTCCTCCGTGGGTACTGCATGACACGGGTGCACTTAAACACAAATACAGGCATAACACTCATACACAAAAAATAAAAATAAATAAATAAAGGGCTGGAGAGATGGCTCAGCAGTTAAGAGCACTAACTGCTCTTGCAGAAGACCTGGGTTCGATTCCCAGCACCCACATGGCAGCTACGAACCGTCCTTAACTCCAGTTCCAGGGGAATCACATGGCAGCTATGAACTGTCCTTAACTCCAGTTCTAGGGAAATCTGAAGCCCTCTTCTAACCTCAGTGCACTCACATACATACAGGTAATACAATCATACACATAAAATAAAAATAATAAATAAAATATTTTTTAAAAACAAAATTTTTAAGAAAGAAAGAAATGGAAGTTTCTTCTACACAAGTGAAGTTTACTTCTTCTTACTTAAAGCCCTGACTGGACATTTGGAGTAGCTATAGTGAGACTCTGGTCACTGCTTTCTTGTGACTCTGTTGCCTTCAACATGTTGTCCAAGATGTCTGTTCCAACTCCCACTTCATTTCCATCTTCTGAACAACATGAAGGGAAGAAAGAAGGAAGTGGAAGTCATACCCTTTCCTTTTTTATTTATTTTTTGGTGTTGAGATTGGCACTTGCTTGTGTAGCCCAAGCTGGCCTAGAACTCTAGATCCTCTTGCCCCAGCCTCCTGAGTGTTGGCATTGTACATGTATACCACCCACCCAGGTATACCGTTTTCCTTTTAAGAGAAATTTGCACGGATATTATACGTTTGCCTTTATCCCATTGGTCAGAATATGGTCATAGGATATACCTAGCTGCAAAGCAGTTTTAAAAAATATATTATTTAGGAAGCTGTGTTTCTCATTAAAAATTTTATTAGTCTGTAAGAAGAATACAATGAAAATTAAACACTAGAGTTGGGGATATAGCTCAGTGGCCTTGACTTTGATCTTCAATACCACACACACAAATATTCAGTAACAATTATTTATTATTTGACACAGTGCATGGCTATTGTTAGCTATAGTTGCCATTCAAGTAGCTTTTCATTCATTCAGCAAAGTTCCACTGAGAGCCTCCTAGGTGCCCAGGACATATCACACCTATAGTGATAAATAAGGTATATTTCCTTCCCTAGACACAGTCTGGAGGAGGTGAGGAAACTGAAATAGGAGAGGTGGACCCAGAGAAGAAACTGGCCCTGTTTTTTATTCTTGTAGAAGACCTGAGTTTGAATTCCAGCACCCACATGGTAGCTAATAACCATCCATAACTCCAGTTCCGGGGGATTCCAGTGCCCTCTTCTGGCCACTTACATACATGTAGGCCTAACACTCATACACATAAAATACAAAATAAAAATACATTTTAAAAAAGAAGTCTTCCTGGAGCTGATGGGTCTTGCAGAGTGGGTTGATCTGAGATGTACCCTGGTGAGAGGAATAGTAGACACAGAGGCACACGGGAGTGGTCATATAACCCACTAGAAACTGTTGAGTAAATAGTAATAGAGTCAGGATTTCTCAATGCAGACATGAACCAACCCCCTGTACTGCTTCCTTATTTTTTGATACCCAGCTGCATGTGGCAGGCTCTTCCTGCAGGTGCCTGATTGGCCTTGAGCACCCCTAGGAAGCACATGGTTGGTGTTTGGCACCCCCACAGCATGTCATGCAATGCTGTTTGGATTTGCTGTTCTTTTTTAAAAAATATTTTATTATTTTTATTTTATGTGTATGAGTGTATTGCCTACATGTATGTGAGTGCACCCGTGTCATGCAATGCCATGGAGGTCAGAAGAGGGCTTTGGATTCCCCTGGAACTGGTGTTAAGGACAGTTCGTAGCTGCCATGTGGGTGCTGGGAATTGAACCTGGGTCCTCTGCAAGAGCAGTCGGTGCCCTTAACCGCTAAGCCATCTCTCCAGCCCCAGATTTGCTGTTCTTGAGGTTAGCTGTGAACTCCTATTCTTCACTGTGATGCCCCCTGACTCATTCTTGCTTTCTTCACTACTCACTTCCATGTGTGGCCTCTTCGCCTATGACCTTAGATGATGAGGATGTCTTTCTCTGCGGGAAGTGTAAGAAACAATTCAACTCGCTGCCAGCCTTTATGACTCATAAGCGGGAGCAGTGCCAAGGGAATGCCCCTGCCCTGGCCACTGTCTCGCTGGCTACCAACAGCATCTACACCCCTTCAGCCGCACCTGCTGCAGTCCAGCAGGCCCCACCTCCTGCCAACCGCCAGGTAGTCATTTGTTCCTTTGTTTGTTTGATCATTCTTTCAGCATCTCTTTTTAGCACCTGATGTGTGTCACACACTGTGCTGACTCCTGGAGGTACAACATGGGCAGGGCAGACTAAACTACTGCCCTCGTGGACTTAGAAAAGATGGATAGGATGCAGATGTATATGGATATTCTCAGGAGTCTGAGGCAGGAGGATCAAGAGTTTGAGGCCACCAGACATGGTGGTACACATCTTTAATGCCAGTACTCGGGAATCTCTGTGAGTTTGAGGCCAGTTTGATGTATATAGCAAGTTCCAGGGCAGCCAGGGTTGCCTAGTGAGACTTTGTCTAAAAAAAGTTACACTTTTCTCAGACTATTAAATGTAGAGATAGAGGTAGGAGATTTTACCATATTACATATGACATTTGGGGCAGGACTGTGAAGAAGTGATATCTGAACAGAGAATCAAGGAGGTGAGGGAACAAGGCTTGCAGCTACAAAGAGTATTCCAGGTAGAGGAATCAGCAGGTACAGAGACCCTGTGGTGGAAGTGTACTGAGCTTTCTCAGGAGTTACAAGGATGGCATAGTGTCTGGAGCTGATTAAGTAAGGAGGAAGGTCAGAGTAGCAGCAGCAGCTTCTTGGCAAATCATGGGGACTATGAGGGCTTCTGCTTGGCTATGGGAGCCACTAGAGAGTTTTGAGAAGAAGGACTTAGGCTTGACTTGTATTGTACCCAGCTGTCTGAGTGCCGTACAGAGGAAGATTTTCATATGGTTAGGAGAGCATCAGGAGACCTATTGGGGCTATTGTATAGATCTAGGCAATGGGTGGTCGTATAATCAGGTGCTGAGAGGGGATGAGACTTTAGAATTGTTGTTTTGACATTTTTTTTTTGACATAGGGTCTTCCTGTAGCCATAGCTGGCCTGGATTCACTATGGAGGCCAGGCTAGCCTTGAACTCACAAAGATTCACCTCCCTCTGCCTCCTGAGTGTTGAGATTAGAGGTGTGAGGCACCACACCCAGCTGACACAGGGTCTTATGTACCACAGGTTGATCTTGAACTTCTAATTCTCCTGCCTCTACCTCCTGAGTGCTGGGAGTGTAGGTATGCACAACTATACCTAGTTTATGCAGTGCTGGGACTCCAACCCAGGGCATCAAGCATGCTAGGCAAGCAGTCTATCAATTTAGCTACATCCCCACTCTAAGATTTTAGAAATAATTTTGAAGATGTTAATGGGATGGTCTGTGAACTGGTTGGGTGAGGGGTGTGAAATAAAAAGAGAGTCAAGGGTGATTCTGGAGCAGGGGTTGCTATCACCCAAGGTGGGGATAAAGTTTTGGGGACATGTCAGAAGTTCAGTTGGGCATGTTGGATTTGAGAAGCTCTTGGGCCTTTAAGTAGAGTCAGAGCTGATGCATGTCTGCATGTAGGAAGGAAAGCCAGGTTTCAGATAGCCAGAGAAGCTTATTCTGGATGGTGACTTTAGGATTAAAGATAGACTCATGGGAATGGAGAGATAGCTCAGTGGTTAAGAGAGCTGTTGCTCTTGCAGAGGACCTTGGTTCCCAGGACCTACATCAGGTGGCTCACAGCGGTCTGTAATTCCAGTTCCAAGGGAGCCCCCTGGCTTCCACAGGCACCTGTACACACATGGTATATATAAACTCATGTAGACATAAATAAAATAAAAATAATAAAATCTTTCAAAAAAAAAAAGGTACCTTGTGAGAAGACTGAGACTGTCTCAAGATACCAGGTGGAGAGGTTAAATTTCCCTCTGTTCCTTTTGAATGTTATTTTCAACCACTGGACATACATAATTCCTGCTATTAAATTAGGAGCTTTCACTTCCAGGCCGATAGGGCATATAGACTGAAAGTTGAATTTGCCTCAGACATCTTCCATCATAGAATGTGAATCTTCTCATTTGTGGACTTCCTGTGGACATGTGCGAGTGTCTTCCTAGAACAGAAGTCAGGAGGTATTACTGCTGGATCATAGAGTATGTATGTGCCTTCCAGAGATGTGACTCCTCCTCAGAGAGGTAGAGTGACTTGCCTAGGGTCACGTGGCAGGGAACTGCAGAGGTAGAAATGAAACCTAGATCTATGGAACTCCAGAACCTGGTTCTTTTACTTAGTTTTTGTTGTTCTTGTTTATTTGAGATGGGGGGGGCACTATGTTGCTAGGCTAGCCTAAAACTAACTGAGTAGCCCAGGCTATCCTCAGACTCCTAGAAATCTTCCTGCCTCAGCCTCCCAAGTGCTAGGATTTGAGGTGCACATTACCATGTGTGACTTGAACTTGGGTCTTCTGCATCATCCACTCAGCTTAGGCGTGTCTGAACTAACACACATACCCTCTTTCTTGCTCAGATCTCCACTTACATCACAGTTCCCCCGTCCCCACTGATCCAGACCCTGGTGCAGGGGAACATCTTGGTGAGCGATGATGTGCTCATGTCTGCCATGTCAGCCTTCACATCCCTGGACCAGCCCATGCCCCAAGGGCCCCCGCCTGTGCAGGTAAGACAGTGAGGGCTTCTCATGGACTCTTGTTTTTGGTTTTGTTTTATTCCCCTATAGTGATGGAGACTGAACCTGGGGTCCTGTACATGGTAGGCAAGTCTCTTAGGAGTGTAATTCCAGGCCTGCATATTAACTCCTGTGGATTCAGAGTATTTTAAGGGGATGTGGCCTTGGCCCCAGCTCCCCTATGTGGAGGGGACTGTTCACCTTCTCTGGTCAGCCCCAATGATCAGTGAAGCTGCCACATTGAGGTGGGTTGGCCGCCACCATTCAGCTGTTTTCATATTTGACAGAAGTATCTTGTGCCTATTAGAAAAGAAAGCCGGGTG